TATACTTTTTATGTTGTGGAAAGCAAAGTTTATTTTTTGAAGTCTTGCTTCCATTTTCCTGGTATTTTTTTAGGCTACAGAACATGTTCAGTTTACAGCAAAATGCCATTTGGTATCCCAGTGTGGGTTGTCCTTATCCAGAGATATTCAATGTCTGTTAAAGCTAAGCTAAAGGTCTCATCTGTGGTGGCTAACTGGGTCACTTTACTCATTAACTGAGAGGGCAACTATGGCATCATTCTACAGCCTGCGACTTCCTGAACAGCCTCTTGGCAATAATGCCCCACAGGGGAAGTCATAAATTTTCCTCCTGATGGGTAGGACTTAGAAGACAGCCTAAATTGTATCAACTAGAGAAGTTCGGTGACAAAAACCTATTGGAATGAATTTATGACAACTGCTTAGTCCCCTCAAGACTGCCCTCACCTCAGACACCAGCCTCAAGTTTGGGGTCCTTATAGCCACCTCTACTTCATACTTGCTAGCTAGTCTGAAAGTTCTGGGGTCTCCATCTGCTCCCTCAGGTTTGATGATTCACTAGGATGACTCACAGAACTTGGGGAAGCACTGTATATTTAGGATTACAGTTTTATTATAATGAAAGGATACAAATTAAAACCAGCCAAAAGAGAGGCACATGGGCAAAATCTGGGAGGGGCCCAGATGCGAAGCTTCTGGTTGTGTTTTCCCTGTGGAGTCGTGGATGGTATTACCTCTTCCTGGCTATGATGTATGATGTAACCAGGAAAGCTCACCCAAGCCTTTGGTATCTAGAGTTTATGCTGGGGTTTGATCACATACTGCCTGCGTGTCTTATCTTTAGTTTTCGTTCCCTCCCACAAGTTTGGGCTAATACATTTAGTCTCCTGTTCCTCTGGAGGTCAGAACTGATAAGGCATATTCCAAAGCTCCCATCATAAATCACATTCTTAAACTCTAGTGGCCAAGCCTACAAATGAGGGTACTCTTATCAAACAGGATGTTCCAGGGGCCTAGAGATCATCTCCCGATAGTTGAGAGCAAAAGCCAGACCTCTACTGGATAAAATTAATCTTCAGTACACACCTATTTAAACAGAAGATGTATTTTTTTTTCCCATTAAATTTTTATTTTGTCAATATACAATGTATACGATTATTATGGCCCATCACCGACACCTCCCTCCCTCCTCGCTCTCTCCCCTCCCCCCCAAGAATGTCCTTTCCATTTGCTTGTTGTAACAACTTCAAAAAGGTATAGTTGTTATATCTTCTCCCCCCC